TTGGGACCCTTATTTAAATCCTTGATCTAGCCCTTGTTACCCTTATTTGGATCTTCAATCCGACCCTTGTGAGCCTTAATGTTGTGACCCTTAATCTGACCCTTGTGACCTTTACTCTGATCCTTGGGACCCTTATTTAAATCCTTGATCTAGCCCTTGTTACCCTTATTTGGATCTTCAATCCGACCCTTGTGAGCCTTAATGTTGTGACCCTTAATCTGACCCTTGTGACCTTTACTCTGATCCTTGGGACCCTTATTTAAATCCTTGATCTAGCCCTTGTTACCCTTATTTGGATCTTCAATCCGACCCTTGTGAGCCTTAATGTTGTGACCCTTAATCTGACCCTTGTGACCTTTACTCTGATCCTTGTGACCCTTATTTAAACCCTTAATCTAGCCCTTGTTACCCTTATTTGCATCCTTAATCTGGCCCTTGTAATTCTTAATCGTGTGAAAAATTCGGGACGGAAAAAAAGTCCGCGCGGAGAGAAATTTTTAATTTCTCAGTTTTTCGCGTCAGTTACGCGGGGGAAACGGGGATAGATAAGGTTCAAATTAATTAAAAAACAATTGGTAAATTCCGCGCCTACGGAAATGTCCAACTTCCGTTTCCACTCTTTCCTCAGATTAGTGTGCTCCCCTCAATGGAGGGCGTCAAGAAAAGAGAAGGAGAGGTGTTTGTACTTCATCGGAAATTCCAGAAATTTCCGCAAGAAGCGGTAAAAATCGAGAAATTTCGGTTGCGGAACGCCAACTTCTCTCGTCCGCATCTCCGAGCCCATTCCACAAAAATCGATCGTCATACTGACTTTTCAACCTCAAATTTCCCTGGCTATCCACTGGAGCACCTCTCAGCCCCCACTTCTTGAATTCCATTTTCGTTAAAAAATTAACATCCCGAGGTATCGAAGCGGATCGTTACATTTCGCCAGTGTTTAGACTTGGAAATGTCATTCATCTGAAATTCAGATTCTCCCTTTTTCATACACCATCAAAGCGATTGAATTGGCGGTGAGACCGTTGCATATTCATGACAGCCCAAAAATGCCGGGCAAAATTGCACTCCTCGATCCGCTCACTGCCATGTAATATTTCCCATTTCACATGTAACTATCATACGCGAGACGATTAAATGACTCGGTAATGAAATTCCACATCCGTATGTTCCGCATTCCAAGCATCCCCGACGAGTCCACTGTTTACCCCTTTCACCTTCCTCCCATATTCCCCCCTCTCGCCTCCCCCCAACTGTCCCTCCAGCATCCCTTCCTCCTCTTCCCCACCCCATTGCATCTGGAGCAGAGAATCACGACCGAGAGTGACCCCAGGGCGGTGTCGAGATAAAGACAGACTATCGAATAATAGAAATCCGATCCCTTTATCTACCTTTTCTTATCCAGTGACGCAGGTGAATGGATAAATTCAACATGAAAAATCTCTTTTGAAATAGAAATAAAATAGAAATAAAAAAGGATTTAGGGAATGGATGTGCAGAGGGGAACGACGATAGTTTCATTGGAAAGCTGGGGGTATTTCAGGTTGACAACGCTCGGTGATCTATTACAATTAAACGCTTCGGAAACTATTCGAAACATTGATTTTGAGGGGGAAATTTGTTTTGCCGATAATCTTCTAGCTAGTCGAATGAACCTGATCCTCTTGTTGAGTTTTTTTGGTTGCAATTTTTTTGATTGTCGAGAGACGAGACACGAGACGAGAGACATGACGAGACACGAGACGAGAGACATGACGAGACACGAGACGAGAGACATGACGAGACACGAGACGAGAGACATGACGAGACACGAGACGAGAGACATGACGAGACACGAGACGAGAGACATGACGAGACACGAGACGAGAGACATGACGAGACACGAGACGAGAGACATGACGAGACACGAGACGAGAGACATGACGAGACACGAGACGAGAGACATGACGAGACACGAGACGAGAGACATGACGAGACACGAGACGAGAGACATGACGAGACACGAGACGAGAGACATGACGAGACACGAGACGAGAGACATGACGAGACACGAGACGAGAGACATGACGAGACACGAGACGAGAGACATGACGAGACACGAGACGAGAGACATGACGAGACACGAGACGAGAGACATGACGAGACACGAGACGAGAGACATGACGAGACACGAGACGAGAGACATGACGAGACACGAGACGAGAGACATGACGAGACACGAGACGAGAGACATGACGAGACACGAGACGAGAGACATGACGAGACACGAGACGAGAGACATGACGAGACACGAGACGAGAGACATGACGAGACAAGATGAGACACACGAGACGAGAGACATGACGAGACGAGACGAGAGACATGATAAGACGAGACGAGACACACGAGACGAGAGACATGACGAGACGAGACACATGAGACGAGAGACATGACGAGACGAGACGAGACACACGAGACGAGAGACATGATGAGACGAGACGAGAGACATGACGAGAGGAGACGAGAAGAGTCGTCCGAGACAATGGTAGAAACGAAACGAGACAAGTCAGTCGAGGACGAGAGAAACGAGAGGCGAGACGAGAGTCGAGAGAGTCTCCTCCTCTCCGCCCCTTACGATCTCAAATTGAGATTTTCAAGTTTCAAATTGAAAATTTCAATTTCTTTCAAAAGTCTCAAGTTGAGACTTTCAAAACTCCACTTGAAGAAAAATTTTAAGTTGAGTTCCGAACTTCTTTACTTAAATTATTTAAAAGTATCAACTTCAGTCTATGAAAGTCTTAACTTACGGCTTTCAACACTCAATTTGATGACTTTCTGGCTTCAAATAAAGGCTTTTGAAAATCTATCATAACATATCATTTTTTTGGGTGTTAAAAATACAGATCCAAAATTTTCCTATCTAATAAAAGTCATAAGAGTAACGTAAATAAAACTCTAACAGTCCCATGCGGGTTGAAACAAAAACTGTAAAATGCTCTAAGAAAACCGAGAACAGACGACAAATTGAAAACCTCAACAAATAAATTGTTAATAAAATTTTGAAAAAGTTTAGAAGCAACTTTTTGAAAAAGAATAAAGCAATTCTCAAATCCTCTCCTAACCAAACTGAACTTGAACCAAAAAAATCCAATGATAAGGGTGGTAAGGGCCAAAACACCGATCCAAAATTGTCTACCCAGTAAGGTTCATAAGGGTCACAAGAATCAAAGCATATGAATCAAAACAAAAATTTTCCTGACAATAAATTAAGTTTCATAAAAGCGTCAACCGTTACACAGGTCAAGCCACGACTCGCCAATCCAAAAATCTATCAACAATTCCCCAAGCCCATCACCCCCTCCCCTAAAAAATCCTGCACATCCACTTGCACCCTCAAATCCCCCAACTGAATGCAAAAAAAACCATCAAGAAGAATCCGAAGAAAAGAATATCCCGAATTACTCCGTCTGGCCCCCTCAATTTTTCACCCTCCCCCCTCCGCCCCTCCGCAACCACCCCCGACAATCGACATTCGCCGTTTGCGCTGTTATCGAACGATTGCGCGCGCACAAGAATTCATAAGGGGCGTACCAGTCGGTTACGTCTTGCTCCGTGCATGATGTACCAAAGAGGTGCCGTAGGGTACTCATACAACACTGGCCAAACACCGTTAGCCAGCCCCGAGTGACGAGTGTTGGAGGACAACATTTCGTCGGCCACTGGCTGAATATTCACCATCACCCAGAAACTAAAATTGTTAAAGTTTTATAGATAAATAACCGGATAATCCAGTCACCAGTGGCTGAAAGAACTGAAAACGTCACTTTCAGGAGGAAAATTTTGGAATTGATAAGTCAAAAGTGTCAAGTGCATTAACTTCCTCCAGCAAATTACAAAAATTACCAACTGTCTCGGATAACTGACAATTGTGACAAGTGATTTATCGAGTCCATCCGATCGCGTAAACAGAGACACGCGGATCGGTTGCGTCAGTGATTGCAATTACAATCCCCATAACTGGAAAAATTATTTCTCAAGATTTGGAAATTTCCCCGAAGACTTCGAGTCGTGATTTTAATTTCAAAAAGTGCATTCGGAGAACTGAAGAGGGTTGCATCGATCGTTCGCCATTTTGCTAGCTTCCACAGTAGTAAAAACATCGCCCTGTTCTACCTCGGGATCCCGGAAATCTCGAGTTGTATTTTGTATGTAAAAATCTGACGCATCATTTTACAGGGGAAAGACTGGCCGGTTGATTATCACCGAAGGAGGAAGAATTCTCGTGAGGAACGTAGCTGTCGACTTGAGTGTATTGATCGTGTGCGCCATATTAGTCTGAACCGCCTCGTCTGAGGGGGTGCGTGGGCAAACGAGAGAAGACAGTGTTTGAAGGCGAGACGACAGTGAGATATAAGGTGACGAAATTTTACATTCGTCAGACCAAAAAGTGTAAAAAAAACCTCTCAAAAACAGCCAAAAACACCTCCAAGAAGAACCGAAAAATTTTCAAAAATAAGGGTCACGAGGGTCACGACGAAAAGTGTCTGGAAACCTTAAAAAACAACGGAGAAAACATTCCGAAAAATTTAGTGAGCGAAAGAAAAACATTAATCCCCTGACTAGAGCCGGACTAGGGCCTGACTAGGGCCTGGCTAGCCACGCCAAAATAATCTCAAATCATTCTGAAATAGCCATTTAATCATCTGAAACCCCCAATAATTGGCCGCTAGCTGACGCCTGGTATTCGGTAGGCATCAGGCTGGGAGGACGTTTGAGTGAAGTGGTGGGTCCCGTCGTGGAGGAGGCCATTGAGCCAGGGGATGCAACCCCGCTGACGGGACCCTCGAGGGAGGCCTCGATACCCCGAGCCCCTCCACCCCCACCTCGCATAACAACCCCAAGTCCCCCAAGACCGCCACCACCTCCATCGCCACCTCAGCAGTCCCAACAGCCCCAGCAGCTCCAGGTCCATCTCCATCCGCACCTGACCAAGAGTCACAGTCAGGTGTTGCCACAGGGTCAGACTCAGGGTCAGCATCAGCAGCACCAGCTCCATCATCAAGTGAGCGAGCCCACGCAAAATCCAAACATGGGGACTGTTCTGTCATTCAGCCCCAAGGAGCGACGCTCGTCATCAGTCTATCCACCAACTGGTCACCAACATTCAGACTTCACTCTCAATAACTTCAACTATGAACAGCTGAACAATGCGAAAAATCGGGAGAACAAGAGTGTCACAGCTGTTGCACCGGCACCACAAAACACCAACAACCATTCGTTGCAGAATAATAATATTAATTTGAATAATAATGATAATGCGAGAATTATTTCCGAGAAAAATGCGCTGGAGAAGAATCTCAAGAAGCATTCGTTGTTCATTAATGCACTGTCGTGGAAACGATTTAGCACGACTAATAATAATAAGAAGAAGCTGGATAATAAGAATAAAAACATGACTTTTAGACAGCCACTCGATAATATTCCTATTGTTGATAAGAATAAGAATATTCAGACGCCACAGGTATGTAATATTTTTTACTGTATGAAATACGTTAAATTGAACCTTTACCGTGGGAGAGGCTAGGATCGTGTCGGTTTGAGAGGGTGGGGGTAACTGGGATCAACGCGATGCATCGGGAGTGGGGACTCACTGGCTCAGGTAAAGGGTCGACCTGAAGACGAATGAGTTTTTGATGAATATCTCCGAATCTAAGGAAGATACAGAGGTTTTCATTAGGCCTATTTTTATAGAGAGAGATGAGACGCACAGAAAAGCTTCTTATGAAAATTTCGATACGTCTCTTCGATTCCGGGATATGTATCGAAAAGCATTTTGGGGATTTGGTGAATTGTTTTGGAAAATTAATGAGTCAGAAGAAAATGTTGAAAAATGTTTCTTGTGGTGCAGGAAATTGTTTCACAAAAAAAGATAGTTGAGGAATTTTTGTAAAATGATGCATTCTCAAGATAATTTTGGGATTAACGATGATTTTAATTATTTGCTTCGGTTTTTTGTCAAATACTGCTGGAAATTTTTTTAAATATCTCTGAAATTCGGAGATTTATCGAAAAATATCATAAAACATTTTTTGTAGATTATGAAATTCTCTTTGAAAACGCATTAATGATACTTTTTTATAAATCTACTCATTACCTTCATAATTCAACAATTAACAATTAGTCGCCTAAATATCTTCATTTTTCACGGTGACAAAATACAGAAAAATCTTTTTCACGAATTATAAAACTCCCTACAAAAATATTTCAATCGAAAATTGGCTCAACCCCAACTATCCATCCTAACGCTCATCTCCTCCGACCCCACCCGTTCCAAAATCACCCGCTCGTCTTTTGTTTAAAAAAAAATCGAACAAACCAAACAGTCACTCATACAACTGCAGTTTTCCAGTCTCCAGTTTCCTTGAAACTTGGAACTATCAATTAACAAAATTGTTCATTCATACAAAGGTCCCTCAGTGTTTATTTATCTCAAATGAAACCTCAGGCAAACATGAGTGCACGACGACTATACAATATCGCGTGTGTTCCACCTGTTTCAACCAACGCATCGATGCCAACGCATCGATCGATTCACGGGGAACCATTTGTTTGACCCATCACTCCTTATGTGTAATGTCTACTCATTGGTTACGTTGGTCATAACAAATCAAAAATTCATGAGAACTAGACAATTTTTCATTTTTCGGGGTAATGCAAAGGCTTCGAGTCTCATATCAAATACTTCCCTCTTTATCGTTCATCTGAAAGAGGTTGTTTCTGTAGATTCTTGATTTTCGAGATAAACAATGAGTTGAGTTGAAATATGCACAAAAAAACCAAAGATGATGTTGCAAAAATATTCATTTACGTTACTATCTTGAGTGGAAATTGCTTCAAGTCCACCTGAAGTGCGCTCAGAACTTGATCAAGTTTTTGTAAGGTTCGACTGATCAAGTTTTGATCCAGTTGATCGGGTCCCCAAAAACTGCAGGCGAGTTAAGATCAAGTTTTAGTCAGGTCGGCACGATCAGGTGACGCCTGATGAGAACCTGATCAAGTTTTGATCCAGTAGATTGGATCCCAAAATCTCCCGAGTGGAAATTGCTTCAGATCCACGTGAAGTACGATCAGAGTTTGATCCAGTTTTTGTAAGATTCGACTGATCAGGTGATTTCTGATGACAACCTGACTAGTTTTGATCCAGTGGATCGGATTCCAAAAACTTCAGGCGAGTTTAGATGAAGTTCTGGTAAGGTAGGCATGATCAGGTGAGGCCTGATGAGGGCCTGATCACATTTTGATCGAGTAAATCAGATCCCAAAAAACTTCAGGCGAGTTCACATGAAGTTCTGGTTAGGTAGGCATGATCAGGTGATGCCTGATGAGGACCTGATCAAGTTTTTATCTAGTAGATCAAATCCCAAAAACTACAGGCGAGTTTAGATCAAGTTCTGTTCAGGTAGGCATGATCAGGTGACGTCTGACGAGAACCTGATCAAGTTTTGATCTAGTAGATTGGATCCCAAAATCTGGAGGGGGGCTCAGATCGTGTTCTGATCAGGTAGACATGATCTCGGTCTGAGGTCAAGCCACCTAAACCCAATTTGATCCGATTCGGATTTGATGCACTTGATTTTCATTTGAACGGTGTCAATTGGAGAAAAAATGATAAGATTCGGATCCGGTTCACCTGTCCTTAATTTGAACAAACATTTTCCGAGAATAGAATTTCTAATATTAATCCTCAATTTACTTATGAAGTATCAAACTTACAAGGAAATTATTTTGAGTAGAAAAAAATTCATTTTATCATTATTCATTAATGAAATGGATAAAATTTCAACTAAACAAATTTTCTCTCAGAATATACGCGCAAATCCTCGAGATCATGAATAATTTCGAAGTCAATAAATACCCCGATACAGATCGTATAAGTAAAACAGAGTCCACTGAATAATAACAGCGCGATAGTCCAGTGGTTAAGGCATAGGATTAGCAATCGGTGGATCCCCGGTTCGATCCTCAGTATCGGCAAAAATCATGAGGTTTTTTCAGCAGTAATTACGGTAGGGATTCATTAAGAGAGGCGATCTACAGTGAAAAAATCGAATTATCTTTCGTTTTGAATTAATTATCATTAATAATTATTATTGATTCTAATGGACAGGTCATCCGTTTAGAATACGTTTGGCTTCACCAAATCCAGAGCCGTTACACCTGATCGTCTTAATGAAAAACCACATTACATGACTGATCAGGGCTTGATCAAGTTATCATATCACTTTCTGATCAATCCTCAGGCCTCACCTGATCGTCCTGACTTGGCCCTGACCAAAATTTCCACTCGGGACTATGTTGTTTATCACAGAGATAAAAATACCAATCATAAATATTTCAAAGATAAACCTCTCCAATCTATCATGTACATTATTGGAAAAAACTCCCATCACGAATGACTGTTGAAAACTAAAAAAATTCTATTCACCCTCACTCACAGCTTTCATATTGCCTCAACCCACTGGCTTTCAATCCTCATTTTTTCTGCTGCCCAGGGAAATAAATAATAATTCAATTTTTTTTATTATGCAAAAACGTCGGCTGGAACATCAGGGTATTATAGACACGTGACACATGCACTGTTGACAGACGAACCCGTCTATAACCACATACACGAGCCAAGGACTTAATGTGAGACTATTCAGAATCGGATTGTCCTACTTTTCGAACTACAACGCGTTATTCATGCGACAAGTTTTTTCCCTATGCACATTTTTAGAATATTTTCGATGGTGGGGGGTATAACTTTGTGGAGAATTGCTGAAACTTTTATTGGGGTTTAGGTTTTATTTTTTATTTGAATGTTGATTCAACCTCTGGAAATTTAGGGGATGAAAATTTTAGTTCAGGATGGAAAGATGGGATTATGTGGGCTGAGGAGATCGGGGGATACTGAAATATGTTTCGATCGATAGCCGGGGAAATTTCCGATCCAAAACACTACAATTAACCCTTTTTGCGCGCTACATTGACTACAATATCGGCAAAAATCGGTTTTACCTTGAACAGGAATTTTTCCGCAATATTTGAACAACTGTTCGATGAAATTGAACACAATTGTAGGATTTTGGATCGGAAATTTCCTCGACTGTCTGTGGAACATATTTTTATTTATCTGCGATCACTTGTTCTTGAGATATCGCAAAAATTGTATTTGACAAATCAAAATTATTCATTCACTTTTACTAGAATAAATATTCTTGGTGATAAAGGGGTCGGGGGGTCGTGAAAAATATTTTAATGAATAGCAGAAGAAATTTTCTACTCCAGACATTAAAATTGAAGTTTTTCATGTAATATTCGCTGCATATCGGGAAAAATCGGTTTTACCCAGAAATTTTTTTTTCGCGAAATTCCAAGATTTGTTCAGTGAAAATGAAGTTAATTATAGGGATTTGGATCCACAATTCATCAGACTGTTGGCTGAATTCATTTTTCTTCATCTACGATAATTAATTTTCGAGATATGACAAAAAATCGAAAAGATTCATTGAATCATTCACCATCGTAAAAATTTTGGGGGATAAAATAGGAATTATTGGAGTAGGATGAGGTCGGGGGGTCTTGAAAGATGTTTCAATCGATACCTAGCAAAATTTCTGATCCCAAAATCTACAATTAATTCTCAAAAAAAAAATAACCCAAAAAAATGCTGAATTAATTAATTGATGCTCAATTAATTCTTTTGCCCTCAAAATTCCTTTAAATATCCATCAAAACCGGTATCAGTCCAAGAAACCGTTGTTCCAACAATTACGCCATAAAAAATAACTCAATTGTATGATTTTGGATTGGACAATTTCCTGGCTATGGATTAATCCTACTGCCCTCCAGCAACAATTATCAATTTTCAAGCTGTCGCAAAAAATATAGAAAAAAAGTTTTTAATCGAAATCGACAATGAGAAATTGAATTTCCCTTCAGCATAAAAATTGATAAAAAACAAATAATGATCGATTTATTTGTCAACAGACGAAAGCTCCAGTATCGAACAATAATCACACGACGCACAATCCGAAGTGCGATAAAATAGTCGACAGATCGCAGCAACCAGCTGGACCACGTAAAACAGTTATTCAAGCATCAACGTCCGAGTTATTGAGATGTCTCGGTGTTTATCTCCATGGTAAATGCACACGATTGAGAGACTTTCAAGCTGGTGATGCTGTCATGTGGCTCAGAACAGTTGACAGAAGTTTACTACTCCAGGGATGGCAGGTGAGTCACTATGCGACAGAATACTGTCTAGTGTCGAGGGAAATCCGATATTCCGAAAGCTTGGGGATGGGGAAGAGCACGTTTAAGGGGGACTGTGATGAGGTGCGGAGGAATCATTTATTCGAATTACATGAACTTTCACCTGGCGATAGTTTTCGTGTTGAATGCAAAATTTTTACTCTTTTTCCCGATTTTTCCTGAAAGTTAATCTTCATCCAGAAAAAAATGCTTATTTTGAGGTTTCAACGATCTTCGGAAGTCTCAAGTTGTGACTTTTGAAGGGATGAAGTAGAGATTTTCAATTTTAGCCTTAATGTGAGACTCTCACATCTCAACTTGAGATTTTCAGATGGTTTACATTGAGATTTTCAAGTCTTAAATTCTTAACGTGAGATTTTCAAGTTGAGACTGTTGAACGTCTTAACTTGAGACACTCGAGAGTCTTAATTTGAGACTTTCGAAAGTCCCAATTTGAGCCTTGAAAATCACAATAAATTTTAGTCTCTTGAAAGTCTCAAATTGAGACTTCCAAATCTTAACTTGAGACTTGAAAATCTCTTCTTCTGAAACTCTTAACTTGAGACGCTCACATTTTAACTTGAGACTTTCAGAGGTTTTAAATTGAGATTTTCAAGTCTCAAATTAAGATTTCCAAGTCCTGACCTTTCAACATGAGATTTTCAAGTTATGACTGCTGAAAGTCTTAACTTGAGACACTCGAGAGTCTTAATTTGAGACTTTCGAAAGTCCCAATTTGAGCCTTGAAAATCACAATAAATTTGAGCCTTCTGAAGGTCTTAAATTGAGACGTTCAAATCTTAATTTCAGACTTTTGAAAGTCTCAATTTGAGACTTGAAAATCTGTTTTAGTCTTCTGAAAGTCTTAACTTGAGATTTTCACATCCGAACTTGACATTTTCGGAGGGTTTAAATTGAGATTTCTAAGTCAAAGTCTCAATATGAAATTTTCAATTTGAGCCTGTCGAAAGTCTTAATTTGAGACTTTCGAAAGTTCCAATTTGAGATTTGAATTTTCCAATTTTAACCTTCTGAAAGTCTTAACTTGAGACTATCACATCTTAACTTGAAACTTTCGGAGGAGTGTTCAAGTCTTAAATTGAGATTTCCAAGTCTTCAACTCTCAACTTAAGATTTTCGAATGTCTCAACTTGAGACATTTGAAAGTCTTGAATTGAGACTATCGCAAGTCCTAATTTGAGACTTGAAAATTACAATTTCAACCTTCTGAAAGTCTTAACTTGAGACTTTCATATCTTGAATTGAAACTTTCGGAGGAGTTTTCAAGTTTTGAATTGAGATTTCCAAGTCTTAAACTCTCAACTGAAGATTTTCGAATGTCTCAAGTTGAGACTGTTGAAAGTCTTAACTTAAGACATTTGAAAGTCTTGACTTGAGACTATCGAAAGTCCTAATTTGAGACTTGAAAATGACAATTTCCATCTTCTAAGTCTTAACTTGAGACTTTTTTAAAGTTTTTTAAAGACACGCCCTCCGGCGTTTCTACCAGTGTTCCACTTCAGTCCAAATGAAGCGCATTATTTCATCCAATTACGTGTCTCCAAAAACAAAAATAATTATCTCAATAATTTTTCACAAATTGTTGACCCAAATTCATCGTCTCAAGAGTTCAGGAGGAAATAACTCCTGCGAGTGCATGAAAATATGGCGGATTTCACGATTGAATCGTAAAAAAAACTCTTCATACCGACTAGAACCATCTTTCTCATTCTCGTCGCTCACAAATCCCAACAAGAGCTTTCAATAATGCCCGTGGACGATGGCGATTCCATCCATCGAACTCTGGACTCATCCCCCGGATCTCTACTCACTGACGGACACTAGAGTCTTAATCGTAAATTCCCTTGTCATCGATTCTCGGAAAAGGGAAAAATAAAGCCCGAGGTGGGATTTTCCCTCCCAATCCTCGGGAAAAATACACGAGAATATTTTTCCAATATTTATAGCACACTCTTTCCGATGGGGTGGGCATCTGGGTCTCGTTATAAATATTCCTTTACAATTTCTAAAAATAATTACAAAGGTGGATGTGGAAAAAATCGAAGATGGAGATGAAAAAATGGATTGTCTCGTAAAAAAAAATTTTTCAATTCTTTATTTATTTGTCTTTTTAAATTTTCTCAAACCTTTTATATTGATTTTTTCTTACAAACCCTGATTTTTCGACAATTTTCATTGTGACAAAAAAAATTGTTTTTCTCAAAAAATGAAGAAAAAATTTTTTCATTTTTTTAATGAAAAAAAAAAAAGTTTTTCATTTCCATTTGATATCCTCAGCCCTTTATATATTTTTTTAATACCAACTTCTATTTTTCAACAATTGTTTACAAGGTTTTTTTTTAAAAAAATGAAAATATTTTCTGTTTTTTTAAATGGAAAAATCAATTTTTTTTCTTTTTTTTTTCCTAAAAATTTTTTTCAAATATTTTTTATTCTCATTTTCTTTCCTAAACTTTTTATATTTGTCCATTTTTTTATTACAAATCTACATTTTTTGCCAATTTTTATTATGTCAAAGGAATTTCTTGAATTAAATATTTTGAATTTCTAATTTTTTCAGAAGAAAAATGAATTTTAAGTAATGTTTTATCAGGGATCGACATCAATCATTAGTTTAGTAATGTTATCAGAAGTTACACCTTGCAATAATTGAGGTTTACTGATCTTCATTGAAATTTAAAAAATAATAAAATAATTGATAATTAAAATTTTCAACAAAAAAAATGCAAATAATAATATAATACTATTTTTACATTTCATAAAAGGACTTTCGATTAGCCAAATAATCGTCAATCTTGAAAACTCAATTATTGATTGATAAAATAATTCGGAATTTGAATATTTAAGAGGCATTCCACGCTATTTCAATAGGCCAAAAATTGTTTTTTCCTGGGTTTCGAATATGTTGTAGAGGAGGTTTAGAAAAGTCGGTAAACGCGAGGAAAAAAAAAATTTTTTTTTTCGTTAGTTATTCAATAAACAAAATCTGGTGTACCATCAGGTAAGTAATTGTTTACAGCATCATAACTCGATAAATATCTGTTATATCGAAAAAATGAAAAAGTACGTTTTTACTGCAAAAGAGTGATATATTCATATAAAAAAATATATTTTACAAAAAAATTAAATTTACTGTCGATTTGTTGATAAATAAAAAAAAAATGTTGTAAAAAAAAAACTCATCTCGAAAAAATGCCGAAAAAAATATATTCTATAGAATGCTTATCATGAAATCCGCTGTCCAATTTTCATGGGGTAATCTCATATAGAGTCTGAGATAATAATTATTTAGTGAGGCTGCGTCGAGATAATTTCAACAACCCCGCTGAGTTAGGCCGCAAGTAAGCCGTCAGAGAATCATACTCATTGATTCCTTCGCATGCTATCCCCCGAAATTAAATCAATTGCCGCATTCTGAAACCCTACGAGATTATTTTCTTTTTATAATTTTGAAATTTGTACGGGAATCATTATGACACATAACTTAGGAATAAAAACAACAAAAGGGGAGCTGATGAAGGCAGTATTTAATTGGCGTTATAGACAACGTTGTATTCTTCCTGGTATTCTTACTCATCTATCAATGAATGGAATTCATAGTTTGGGTTTAAATTAATACTTGGAATGTGATAAGGGGTGCGTACCTGGAAACCCCCGCTGTGGTGGCGACGTCACCAACGCGGGGGGGGTGGAGCAGAGGTCAATCTCGAAGACATCAGGTCATTACAAGGACATTGTAAATGGTCGAATTTTATGATTCGCTTAGCCAATGAACGTAAACCTCAATCTTAGCACTAAGTGCATAAATACAGTGTATTCCAGATTTCGATCACATTTGTCAAGGTGACATCGAGACAAGTATTTCGAGAAGATTACGTTGCGAGCAAAATCAGTGGAAGTATGCCTACTTTTAAACTGTGTTGTAACCCACTTGGGAAGAAAAATCATTCTCGCGTAAACAAGTCAATTATTCGAGTGAGTGATGACGTTCGTGAATCGTTTGCCGAAGAAATTGGACATGGCCAGTTTATTTGCAAGTCGTGTCACATAAGTTTGAAGCAGAAGAAGATGGCCAACTGTGTAATGGGCGTAAGTGAAGAAGTTTCGAACCATCTCGAGACTTTCTCCAGATCCAGCGACTCAGGGAATTCCGATGAAGAGTTTGAATTAGATGACGGTGAGCAACGAGAAGTCGCCATACAGGCATTGAATAAAGCTTTACCATCACTGAGTCAGCCTATCATCCCGAGTGACTGGAGCAAACGAAGTGCTGCAGAAAAGAGGAAAACGATCAATGATATTCATGAGGCTATTAGTAAGACATTGGATAGTCTTGAGGGTCACTCTGACACCAGTTGTCTCATTGAGGAAGTCAAACGGAAGCTGGAAAGCGCTAAGAAACCATCAGAGAAAATTCAATTTCTTACAATGGTTTCTAAGACTTGGTCGATTTCCATGATTCAGAAAACCTTCAACGTCTCATATTACACAGAACGTCGAGCTTTCTGGATTCATCAGAAGGAAGGCATTGGAGCTTCTGTTCCGAAAAGAACACGCAGGTCACCGCTCTACGCTGCCCGACGCAGCCTCACTAAATAATTATTATCTCAGACTCTATATGAGATTACCTCATAAAAATTGGACAGCGGATTTCATGATAAGCATTCTATAAAATATATTTTTTTCGGAATTTTTTCGAGATGAGTTTTTTTTTTACAATTTTTTGTTTTATTTATTAACAAATGGACAGTAAATTGAATTTATTTGTATTTTTTTTATATGAATATATCACTCTTTTGCAGTAAAAAAGTATTCTTTCATTTTTTCGATATAACAGATGTTTATCGAGTTATGACGCTATAAACAATTCCCTCCCTGGTAATACACCAAATTTTGTTTTTTGAATAACTTGTGAAAAAAATTTTTTTTTTTTTCCTCCCGTTTAGGAATATTTTAGGGGT